AAAGTTCTTAAAACCTTCTTTTTCAATATGGCTAAAAGGTTGCTCATCAAGAATTATCATTTTAGCTAAAGCCCTTCTACAAAGTTTTTGATCAAATTTCCAAGAGACGGGCATTCCCATATCCTTTTTACCACTTGGAATTGGTTGAAAGCCTATCAATCTTTGATTTGTTTCAACATTATAGGGAAATTTCACACACCTGCTCATATGACCTTTCAATCCCGACGTTCCATTTTTGATATTACAATCTTCCTTCGTAAAATCACAGTATTTACATTTTACAATTGTTATCTCATTAGGACCATCAACCAGCTTTTGAAAGTGTTCCTACACAACAGATCTTTCTTGAATGCCTTTCCTTTTATTGCTTAAAACTGAATCAACTTCACTTGTAGCTGTGGTTTCATTTGAACCCACATTTTCACCTATTTTACCTTGAATCTCTGCCATCTGTGAAGATAAAAAGTAAAACATGAAGGAATGATATACCAAAAAGTAAAACATGAAGCATATGACATATATATAAGGGCAAAGAAACGATAATCTACAACCAAAAGAGCATAAAAAATAATGTATGAGAACTTACTTTTACTACAATATTGCAATCACCTTTGTCTTCTTTCAGTAATTTTGATTGTACCAAAAACCCTAACCCACTTGTGCACATTTCTTTTAATAATAAGTTACCAAACATATAAAAAGCAAGAGATGAACACACAGAGAAAAGGAGCAGAAGATTGAGAGAGACAGAGAGATGGAATAGAGAAGAGGAGAAAAATATAGATAGCTAGATAGAGAGAGGGGAGAGATCGAGATCCTACCTACTGCAAACCGCGAGAGAAGGCAAAAGCTAGAAACCAGGTGCAACTTACAGCGAGAGAGCTGGAGAGAATTGTCTATGGTCTGTCTAAGTTGAAGTAAGGTTTGAAAATGGTGGATTTTAGATTTCTAAACCTAAAACTAAAAGGGGAAACGACTGGGTGTAAGCAGGTAACCAAAAAAATGGGGGGGAAAGGTATGTATAGTGAAAATAAAAGGTGGGAAATATTAAAAAAAATAACTAAGAATAAAGAGAAGTAAAATTTTACAACTTTTATATTTATGTTATAAATAATCTCTCTCTCTCTCTCTCTCTCTATATATATATATATATATTATGTAATTTAGTCGGTATTTCAGTACGGTATCGGTATTTCGGTATTTAAAAAAAATATCACATACCATACCTAATACCAAATATTTTTAAAATTTAAACCAAATATCATACCAAATACCAAATACCAAAAATTTCGGTTTTGGTATGGTAATTCGCTATTTACCAAATTATGCACAACCCTACTCTCCTCAGTTGAAGAAGGAATGTTGGCCTGCTCTGACGTTGACGGATCACTTCTTGAAATGATCACAGCCACTTCTGGTCGCTCCCCTTCTTCTATTAAGGTGATCTCTACATCCGAAGGAGGCACGATCTCTACATCCAAGGCCGTACCTCCCCTCAGCTCGGCCATGGTCAACTCAGGTTCACCCCCGCCGGCTCATCTTCGTCCACTATTCCATCAATCTCTATCCTTCGCCTTTTCAGCGGAGCCTCTTTGTCTTCGCCTTAGTCCGACTCATCAACCAAGTGAAACACTGTAGAAGCCGGAATCTCTACTAGCGGGGCAGTATCAACAGTCTGAGCATGCTCACTTGTAGCCACAACGAGTACGGGCCCGACCGAAATACCTGACTGGCGAAAAACAAGCGTAGGATCCCTTGCCCTCCTTGAAGCTCTCCGACCTACCAACGAAGAAAGACAAATAAGAAATAGAAGGAAAGAAAGGACGATACAAAGATCAAAATTATTAAGATCAAAGCAAGGTGACTCACTGGCCGCAGGCCTGCGCCCAAACCTCTCATTAAACTGCAACCACTCATGAATCCCCACCGTGTAAGGAAAGATCTGACTCACTCGGTTGCGAATGTCGACGACTAGCGAAGGAGGGTCCCTCTCGGCTGCAAAAAGAGTAAAGGAGAACGATCATATCGCCAAAAAGAAACAACAAAGTTATTTGGGAGAAAACACTTACGAGCAAAGTTACAGTTCTCGGGGAATCCGCTGGGGTTCGATACCACGTGCTCCATTATCACGTAGAAGAAATTAGCCCAAACACGGCGATTGGTTTTATCGTCCATCTTCACTACTAATCCCTTAGTCCCACGGTGGCACTAGTGTATTATCGTGCCCCTATGAAAACTTGGGGCGAAGAGGTGACGCAGATGGCAGAGAGAAACACCACGGTGGCCAGCTCCGCGTACTTGATAAGCATAAGGTTAAGCTTGTATATGTACGGGGAGAGCTAAGCCGGGCACATACCGTAATAACGGCAAAAATCCTCCGCCAAGGAAGGAAGAGGAAGTGTATAGCCGACAACGAATGGGTACGCGTAAAATGTATAATACCCTGGGCGATGTACTTGCACTACATCGCTACCAGCAGGGATAAGTTCAACGTGGGTCGAGATTTGCCATTTAGCCCTAAATGCAACGAGCGCCTCCGCATCCATCTCATAAACGATGGGTTCAGTATCACCCTCAGGTGGGTTCTTGAAGTCTGACCTGGCCTTCCTCAAATGTGGAATTATCTCATCCACAGTGGGAAAATTCTTGTCTTCTACCATGGCCGCTCCTTCAAGAAGAAGGAAAAGCTTGGGGTTTAAAAGCTTCAGAAATGCAATAGCTCAAGTCAGAAATATCCATCTCTATTTATAAGAATATGGGCACCCTGAATGAGAAAGTCCAAACGCCACCTCATTAATTTCGAAACGAAAGAGGCACGGGAAACTACGTAGCATATTAGGAACATGCGCCGTAATGACGCATGATGAAATGACGTTATTTCAAACTGACGTAACAGTTAGACGTGGCTCTTGAAATGCCACATCATCATCTCGCCATAAAAGGGTCACTCCTCGGCCAACGTGCTCAGATTTCTCAAAATTACAACTAGCGAAGTCCGCTCATCGAGCTCGTCCAAAGACAACCCCGACGGGCGGAGGAACTAACTGTATGAGTTAAAATTTGATCAAAGGGACCTCGCCTAAAAGAGGGCAATCAAGAATTAATTAGGCCAAGGTCATGCTTAAGAAGTAACATTGGCAAGCCGAGCAGCTAAGGTCGAGGTCGAGCATTCATATCTGCCAAAACGGCTAGTTTAGCAATAAGATATTTTAAAGGAATATTCTGCAGAATATTCTCTGCATTTGTACTTTAGTAGGTAAGGGATATGTCCTATATAAGTAGGAAGAGAGAGAGAAAGAAAGGGGTATGTAATATTTTATATAATAAGCCCTCTCTAGAAAAGTTGTTTCTCAAGCAACTACAAACATTATGTTTACACAAGATTCGATTTGTTGTTTGTCTCAAGTTTTCTCACATTAGATCCGATAAAGTTCTCTATATTCCCACATTTGGTTATCTTACATCACTGTCAGAGGGAGAATCATCCACCCCATTGAATATTTGGGTGAATCATTCTCTCTATTTACATTTATTGTCACTTATCATATTTATTGCTTGTCACTATCCCCTCATTCATTCATAACAATATCATTAAACATCCCCTTGATATTTAATAGCTTGAATGCGGTTTTTATATTATTGATATCAATCAATCTTGGATCTAGGACTTATTATATTTAACTAGAATTTACCCATTATCATTTTATATAATTAGTTTAGCTAAAAGACTAAATACTTTTTGGTCAAACAATAAAATTTCATCTTTATTTTCTCAAAAAGATTTTTATCTTTTTTCTTCTTCTCATTATAGGTAGTCATTTATAGGTGGAAGATTAGCAGGAAGAAATAATAATGAAATATAGAATTTATGGAATTCCCATAGAACAAGAAAGCTTTTGAGTTGGGGTATTTGATTGAACGAAGATTATGCTCTTTCTTTTATCTAGTGTAGTTTATGAATATGTAAATTATTTTTTTATTTGTCAATTGAATTTTAAAATGCATTACAAAGGTTATGAATGTTTTCTTTCTTGTTTGGTTAATTAGGTTTACACGCATGCTTCGTGTGGGTTTGAGGTCTGTCAAATACGGGATATGTAATGAATGATTATCGATTCAATAAAATGTTTGCAAGGTCTTGAAGAATTTTATGTTTTTACCAAAAGTGAAGTGTCTTAGTCAAGAGATTAATGCTGTGATTTTCACGCCATAATATTGTTTCATAGTAAATGTTACAATACTGAAATTGTAAGAAAGAGATATTAATCAATTGAACGATTATGTATATTCTTTATGCAATTTATACTTTTAGATTAATCAAACACTAATTATGTAAATGATTATATATGTATCATAAGGCTCAAGCAATGTAAAACAACGCTATTCATTATTATGAAAATAGAAGGACTATCAAGAATGACGATTAATGATATCAAAAATGACTAATTCAATTGGCAATGTTCATGATAGTTGTAAAAAGGATTATGCCACTGCAAGAAGGATCATGTATTGTGAATAATATTTATAAGTATTAAGTGAGAAACGATTGATTATGTAATTGTACCTCATAAAATTACAACAAAATAAAATAAATAGTTATGTCTGATTAAACTTTAATTGTTCATCTTCATAGTTTCAAATGATATCTAATCATCTTTACCTCGACAAACAAATCATTATACGACGATCCACATTGATAATTCATAGAAACTTGTATTTTTTCATGTATAATTATTTATTCAAATTTTATTTAATAATATTATATTATTTTATAATATTATATATTACATAATTTGGTATACACATTCCATCGAAAAACTAGTAAATATAAAAGCCAACCCACAAACAAAAAAAAGAAGAAAAAGGAAATGAAAGTCCTCATTAAAAAAGCGATTTTTTTTCTTAACGGCATTAGTAGACGGTTAAAATCCAAAAAAAATTGTGATAACATTATATTGTAGAATAAAATATGTTGACATTTTTATTATTGGTCTGACGAAGTTGTACGCTTCAGACAGCTATGATTAGCGGCCAAAACACTGTGCTGCACAATCCTCCTAATTCGCTCTTCAATTCCTTATCTCCTCGCCATATCTGTATATCTTTCTGTAACGACAAAGCTTTAAAAAAGTCAGTCACGCACTCCGCCCCTCGGTTTGCTCGTCTGTTAAACAATGAATCACGGAAGTTGTTGGGTCGTCATCCAAATTGCTGGCCTTGGGCTCGACGACCATCTCTTCCTCCGGGACGTTCCTCTGACGGAAACATTGAAAAAGAACAAGATATGTGCGACAGCAGCAAAGTCGATAGTGATAGTGGCATCCAGATAGGATCTCTGCTCGAGGAAGTTATCCCACAAGGCAATAATACCGCTATAATCTCGGCTTGCTTTGTTGGCCTCTTCACCGGTATCAGTGTCGTGCTTTTCAACGCTGCGGTACGTGCGCTATAGGTCTTTCATTTCTCTTTTCATGTACTATTCCTCCTTACTTACTTGGCCTCAGTCAATCAGCCCCCTGCCTACTTTAAATTATTGTACATTTTATCAGAGGAGTGTCCTATACATCAAATTCACATAACTTAGTAAAATATGCTGATATTCTGAATTTTAAACTTACCAGCTTAGAACATCCAGGTTAGTTCAGAAACAGATAATCTAAATTGGTCTCATTTATAAGTCATTTTGTTATTCAAGACATACAATTTGGCTCTTGATAAAAGATTATGCAGCGCCCGATGATTACCTAATATTTATCAGCAACCCATGTAATTTAACAATATTGTCACCATATAAAAGAGAACTGAAGAGAATGTTCAATTTGTGGTCATATAACGGATATCTCCCTTGGTTAGGTTCATGAAATACGTGATCTTTGTTGGGATGGAATTCCATATCGAGCTGCCTCAGAGGAGCCCATTGGAGTACATTGGCAACGTGTAATCTTAGTACCAGCTTGTGGCGGTTTGGTAGTCAGCTTTTTGAATGCCTTCCGAGCCACTCTGGAGGTTTCAACTGAAGAAAGTTGGACATCATCTGTTAAATCTGTATTGGAACCAGTTTTGAAGACAATGGCCGCTTGTGTCACATTAGGAACTGGGAATTCCTTAGGACCAGAAGGCCCTAGTGTTGAAATTGGCACATCTGTTGCCAAGGGAGTTGGAGCTCTGCTTGATAAAGGTGGTCGTAGAAAGCTGTCACTCAAGGCTGCTGGATCAGCTGCTGGAATCGCTTCTGGTTTGTTCCCCATATTATTCTTGGTTCTGAACCATACATGGTACATTTTCCTTATAATTACATGTAGCCTGTTGTATGCTTTCCTCTTTCCCGGGAAGCCTTTTTGTAAATACAAGTGTGTTTGCACTCAAACCAATAAACTGTAAAAAAGGTGAACTCCTTAAGCAAGCAAAAGCATTAGAAATGTAAACTAGACATATTTCTCAGATTGAGAGTCTGAGAGATTAGAACACGAGTGTTTCCATTAGAGAGAGAAAAGAGACTTCTAGATATTTCTATTATCTCTGTAAGAGTGAATCCGTTCCTATACAAAAAATAGGCCTTCATTAAATACAAGCTTGGGCTGGGTACTACTGGGCCAAAGTAAAAAATAAAAAGAATCACCCACTATCAAATGGGCCTAGTCTAACAACCCCCTTCAAGCTGGAGGGTGACACAACCCCTAGCTTGCGAATATGAAAATGATGAGCAGGCCCAAGTAACACTTTGGTAAGAACATCAACCACTTGAGAAGCACTGGAGTTGTGAAATAGACTGATCAGGCCATTCCCAAGCTTGCCACAAACAAAATGACAGTCCAGCTTAATGTGTTTAGTGCGTTCATGGAAAACTTGGTTTTTTGCAATGTGGACTTCCTGATTATCACAAAATAAAGGAACAGGTAAAGAAGGAGAAACTCCAATATCAGACAATAATTTGGTGAGCCAAGACACCTCTGCAACAGCCTTACTCATGGACCTATACTCAGCTTCAATTGATGATAGTGAGACAACAGGTTGCTTCTTTGATTTCCAGCTCACCAAGCTGCCCCCCAAGAAAAATACAAAAACCAGTGACAGACCTGCGGCTGTCTGGGCAAGAAGCCCAATCACTGCACAATAAAGCTGCAAAGACAAGTCTGGAGAGTTATTGCGGAAGATTCCAAAGTCAAAAGTGCCCTTGAGGTATCTTAGCAAGTGCAGGGCAGCCTGCATGTTAGGAACACAGGGAGACTGCATAAACTGACTCAGATGCTGAACAACAAAACTAAGGTCAGGCCTTGTGCGTATCAAAAAGTTTAGCTTGTGCATTAGACTCCTGTACTCTTCAGGCCTGGGCAAAGGAGTGCCAATCTTAGCTTTTAACTTCACATTCAATTCAAGGGGGCAAGTGACAGAAGAGCAATTCGAGGAATGAAAATCAGCCAGCAAATCATGAATGAACTTTTTCTGATGAAGAAGAACCCCAGAATCAGTGTATAAAACCTCAATGCTAAGGAAGTAATTAAGAGAGCCCATGTCCTTAATCTTGAACTGGTCACTGAGAAAGGACTTCAAAGCAGCCAATTCAGCTAGATCACACCTAGTCAATATGATATCATTCACATAGACAACCAAGATGACCAAGGAATCCCTAGAACCCTTGGTAAAAATAGAGAAATCATTCAAGGAACGAGAGAAGCCATTAGAGCACAAGGCTTGAGATAATTTAGCATACTATTGTCTTGAAGCCAGTCTTAAACCATAAAGAGACTTCTGGAGTTTGCATACTAAAGGAGCAGAAGAAGAGTGAGGAACAGTTAGGCCCGGTGGCAGCTTCATGAATACCTCCTCATCAAGGTCCCCATGTAAGAAGACATTATTCACATCTAGTTGAAAGAGGGGCCAGTGTTGTTTAACAGCTACAACAATAAGAGTTTTGACAATAGACATATTGACCACAGGAGAAAAAGTTTCATTAAAGTCAATACCCTCAACTTGAGTGACCTAGCTTTATATCTCTCAATACTTTCATTAGCCCTATATTTAACCTTGTATACCCACTTACAACTAGTAGGTTTCTTGCCAGGAGGCAATTCAACAATGTCCCAAGTTCTGTTGGCATCCAAGGCCTCAAATTCACATCTCATGGCTGCCTGCCATTCAGGAACAGCTGCAACCTGAGAGTAAGAATAAGGCTCAGGAACATGAAGTTGACTAAGAGAAGGAGCATTAGAAATAGATCTGGAGGGAGGAGGAGAAGAAGTGGAGGTGCAGACATAACTCTTGAGATAGTTGGTTGGATTGTGTGGCACGGAAGATCTTCTCAAAGCAGGAGGAGGTACAAGAGAGTTAGAATAATGAGAAGGAGAAGAGATGGAAGTGGGAACAGAGAAGATTGAGAAGCAGTAGAAGGAGAAAGTGAAGGAGATGAAGGAGAGGAAGAAGACGGAAAGGAACATTCATCAAAACAAGCAGAAAAGGGAAAGGGGAAGACTTGAGGTACTACATGAGAGGATTGAAAGAAAGGAAAAATGGTGTTCATAAAAAATGACATCTTTTGATACAAAACAGGTGTTATTCTGAAGATTAAGGCGCTTGTAGCCCTTTTTGGCAAAAGGGTAGCCAATGAAAACACAAGGAAGGGACCTAGGATGAAATTTGTTTTGTGAGGGGTGGTGACAGTTGAGTAACAGAGGCACCCAAAAGCTCTAAGGTGGTGATAAGTAGGGTGGAAGAATGAAGCAATTCATAGGGACTTTTGTGATTAAGAAGAGGAAAAGGAAATCTGTTAATTAAATATGTGGCAGTTAAAAAGCAGTCACCCCAAAATTTAAGTGGTAGATGAGACTGAAACATAAGTGACCTAGCAGTCTCTAGTAAATTTCTGTGTTCTCTTTCTACAATACCATTTTATTGGGGGGTGTGAGGACAGGAGGTTTGGTGTACTATCCCTTTTTCTGAAAAGAAAAGGCAACCAGAAGAACTAGATCCCAGTTCCAAAGCATTATCACTCCTAACAGTTTGAACTTTAGATTGGAATTGGGTTTCAACCATAGCAATGAAAACCTTGAGCAAATCAAAGGCATTGCGGCACCCATTAAATGTGTCCAAGTAGCCCTAGAGTAGTCATCTACAATGGTTAAAAAATACCTAGAACCATTATAGGTAGGAGTAGAATAGGGTCACCAAGTATTTATGTGTATTAGCTGAAAAGGCTGGGTGGAGTGAATAGAACTATCAGGGAAGGACAACCTGGTCTGCCTCGCTAAAGGACAAACCGGACTAGTGAATGACCGTTTGGAAGACAGTTTGCAATTAAGACCAGAAATGCATTTCATTTTATAGAAGGGAATATGGCCAAGTTTGTAATGCCAAACAACATCATCTTTATTCACATTATGCAAAGCAGTACTAGTATTTACAATTGGAGTATCATCAGGTACAGAAATAGGAGCAGAAACTGAATTAAGCAAACAAGAAATAAGGAAATTAGAAAGAGGTAAAGGAGATGATGTTGGAGGCCTGGCATTCTGAAATAGTTTGTAGAGTCCATTGTCCAATCTACCAAGAACCACTGGCTTCCTCACTGAAGGGCCCTGTAGGGTACAAGTAGCCTTGGTAAATTGTACAATATCATCATCATGGGAAAGTAATTTGTACACAAAGATGAGATTATATTGAAAACTAGGAATATAGAGCACATTATAAAGAATCAAGTCAGGGAACAAGGCTAAGGAACCAATATTAGTGACCTTAACCTTATACCCATTAGGAAGGGAGACAAGGTATGGTACAGGAAGTGTTTGAACATTAAAAAAACAAATGTTTAAGGGAGGTCATGTGGTCAGATGCCCAGGGTCTATTACTCAAACTACACTATCTATCATAGTCAGCATAAATGCACCATAAGACAACCCTTGTGAGGTAATAACTCACCAGCAAAGTTGGTAGAAGCAAGATAGTTGGTTGAAGAAGTAGATGATGCTGATGAAGACAGTTGAGATTGTTGAAGTAACATTAGCTGAGAATATTGGTTCTTGGTAAGACCAGGAACTGGATAGGACTGTTCAGGAGCAGAGGTACCTTCAGGACCAGCTGACATTGCAGAACCACCAGAGGTATCCACCTCAGCATGGGCAACAGACCTTCTGGGAGGAAGAGATCTATTTGACTTGAAATTTGGAGGAAAGCCATTGAGCTTATAGCACTTATCAATGCTATGTCCGGGTTTCTTACAATAGTAGACATGTGAAGCTCAAAAGATCCCTTAGAGGTAGTACCGGACCTTTGAGGTTCAAAATTTATTTTAGGAGAGGGAGGAGGCCTGGATACACCAACACTGAAAGAAGCAGAATTTGAGGCATATTGAGTTCTAGCAAAAATTTGTCTTTGCTTCTCATCAGATAGCAAAATCCCATATACATTACCAATGGAAGGTAAGGGCTTCATCATGATGATGTTGCTTCTTGTTTGGACATAAGTATCATTCAGTCCCATAAAGAACTGGTAGACCTTTTGTTCCCTGTCTTCAGCAGATTTACCCCCACAAGTACACATTCAAACTCTCCCGGCAGACAAAGATGCAATATCATCCCATAGTCGTTTAATTTTGTTGAAATATGATGCTATGTCCATGGACCCTTGGGAAATATGAGCCAGTTCCTTCTTTAGCTCAAAGATCCTAGTACCTCTCTTCTAACTCAGTCCAAATATTCTTAGCAAACTCAGAGTATTCAACACTCTTGGATATTTCCTTGTACATAGAGTTAGTCAACCAAGAGACCACAAGGTCATTGCAACGTTACCACTGTCTGGCTAGAGGAGAACCTTCAGGAGGTCTGTGAGAAGTACCATTAATGAAATCTAGCTTGTTACGAATAGACAAGGCAACTAGGACATTACGTCTCCAATTGCCATAACAGCTTCCATCAAAAGGACCGGAAACTAAGGAAGTTCCCAGCACGTCTGATGGATGGACATATAAGGGGCGACAGGGATGGGTATAATCATCTTCATGGAAAATTAGGCGTAAGGGAGTAGAAGAAGTCGCATCAGCACTGGTGTTATTATCATTTGCCATTTTTTTCAACAGATTGTCAATCAACCAACACAATACAGATACACATATATAGATTGTGAGAAAGCACGAGAGAAAAATCTATATTATTGATATTCTATTTAATTATAATACAATGAGCCCTATTTATACAATACATATCATACTCCTATTCTATGTGGGACTAGGACTAATTCATATTA